AAAGCAATTCAGTCATGAAAGATACATAATAATTTTAATGAAAGTCTATTTCATCAATAAATATCCATATTATGAATGCAGTAGTACATAGTGTTTTGCCTATTTATTTCGACTTGCTACAGGCTATTCAACAGTAGAACAACTAAAAATACCTAAGCCAATATGATAAGATTTTTTGAATATTTTACAATTCCAATTATATAGTTTAGATGAAAATCAGTTAGCTGAATTTATAATAGCCGTTCATTAAATCTTTTCAGTCATAAAATAGCACAATAATAAAAATAATACTTCTGTCAATATCAACTATTTCATAAGGCTTGACGTCTTTTGTAAGAACTACTACAACCATCATCAAGTAGGTACAAGTATTTGTAAATAGTAGTCTACGCAAAATACTCAATATCCATTGACTGGATACCATCAGTAACGGCCTACTGTAGGTAAGGACAAACCAGCTTCCAGCTGAGGATGAAGTTAGGAAAACACGTTGGAAATGGATATGACATGCATCATTGAAATCACCAAACTGCATCACGAGGCAAGCCCTAACTTGGAATCCGGTAGGCAAAAGAGAAAATTACGTCGGGAAATAGAAGCAGATATGAAAAGGATGAATAACAACTGGAAAGGACTGTCCAGGACTGGGTCCGATGGAGAGTGAAGATGGGCGGCCTATGCTCCTCCACGTGAACCGACAGGCACTAAGTAAATAAGTTACGTCTTCTAATAAAACATTTCAGATTCATATTTCACTATAAATTATTTTTAGTCACTTATGCGCATAGAGATTGAGCATTTTTACAGATGCTCAACAATAAAATTACGTAATTATTATTAGATATGTTGATATATGTATTTACACAGAAGTGATAGTGATATGACAAGGAATAACTTAACCTCGATCGATAGCATTCGATCAGCACTAAGAAGGACCTGACATGCATGAGATTGATCACCATCCAGTGATCAATCAATTGTAATTACGTCTCAGTCCCACAGGAGGTTGGTCGCGGCCCGAATAGCTCAGTGGTAACGTCTCTGACTGTGAAGCTGAGTGACGCGGGATCGAATCCGCCAGGGAGCATCAGTTCCCTCAGGATTACAGGTACACCTTGCTGACGAGTGCCAAGTAGCACGAAACCCGGGTCCAGGGTTTCCTGTTGACCACCTCCAACCACCATCTTACCTCAGTATATATAGTGCAAGCAGTGTCGAGCCACCTAGACTGGTGGCCACATTGCACCTCGATCGATAGCATTCGATCAGCACTAAGAAGGACCTGACATGCATGAGATTGATCACCATCCAGTGATCAATCAATTGTAATAACTTAATCAATTAGCTTGAAAATGATAGATTTTATTTCCAATAGTATACGACTGGTATTCATCGAATCTTATGAAAAAAATTATAAATGTTTTATTATATAATCATGTAAATACGTGTTCATACTATAAGTTATTGAATTAATTTATAAGAACTCTCGTCTAAATTAGAGCGAATAGTTTCACAGTATTTGAGCGCCGAGTTGATGTAAGACATTAAATAGGAATAATATATTTGTAAAATCTCAGCGAATGAATTTTAATTAAATCTAAAGTTTCGCCTGGCAATCTGGTCCAAGCTTTTTCAAGCAATTAATTAATTACAAATATATTGTTTCTATTTAATGTCTTATTGAATTAATATTGTTAAATAAAACTCAGTTCAATTTATGCCAATCTGATCGTAAATAAATCACATGAAACATGATTTATTGTTAAATAATTTCAAATAAATCTTTAACAGCAGTCTTAACGCCTTTTTCTTTGTGTTCAAGTCGGTTTGTAGATTCATTCTAAAATTATTAGAAGCAGCTATGAAATCAAACCGACCGTTCATTGAAAAGACATCAAATACATATTAACATTATAACCTATAGTTTTTGTTATTAACTGAATAGCTAACCCAAACTCTTTATACATTGTTTACAAAAGTTATGACACTGAATGTATTTCTCTTCTTTTTATCACTCATTGATCAATACTAGAAACATGAAAATAATTAAATTCTATAAAACAATTTAAAGTTATTTCATGCTTAAAGTCTCTATGTTACTGTAAATAAGAACTACCAAACAAAAAAAAATAGTCCTAAAACTAGAATGAAAAAAGCTTTTTTTTGTTTTAATACAATAATACTTTATCTAATGTCATTTTGTAATGTAAATCTCTTCTTTATATAATAAAAAACAACATTTATAATTGATTTCATGGAAGAAAAATTTAAAAAAAACGTGTAATTATAGAAGATAAATAAATAAAAAAAGAAAAAGAAAAATTAAGAAAGAAAATAAATAAATAAAAGAATTTCAACAGTTACCATGTTTTCTCATCTTATTCATTATATGGAATAAACCATTTGTTTCATATTACATTCATATTAATTTATATAATTAAGTAATATCTCATAATTCTTTATTCTGTTATAATATTTATTGAAGGTTAAATGTTTGTTTGTTTTTATGAAATTATGGTTGTCAGTTTGCATTTATTAAAAAAAACAAAAAAAAATATACATCTAAAAACTAGTCTACTATTCATACATAGATATCAGTTGTTGTCTATTGTTTTTTCAAAGGATTTATAGTGAACTCCAAGATTTCTTACTTTAGAACTTGGATCAAACTTTGATGATCTAATTATTTTCATTTGATAAATGATTAAATTTAATACTGACAAAAGTAATACATACATCTTTTCTAAAACAAATAATAAACCTTATATATATGATACAAAAAGTAATTTGACAAGTTAATTACAGAACCTATTTAACAACAACATACCATTTTTAACAGTTGAATACACAAGTTGATCTAAGCTAGACTACTACTGAAAATCTGGAAGCACTTGATGACTGCGTGCAGGATCGAAAATGCGCACTGCTGAGATAAGATGGCTGTCAAGCTCTTTTCAGGTTCTCAATGGTGGTCTAGATTAGATCGGTACGTGTATTCAACCGTTGAAAATATTACAGTCTATACAAACTGACTTACTGATAATAACATATTACTTTTAATCCAGAGCATTCTCATTTATATTTTAATGAAGTTTAATTTTAACGGATATAATGAAAATAACAAATTATTTTCTGATACGGAAACAAAAGCTTATTGAACATTGAAATCTTTAGCTTCATTAAAATATATACTAAATAATAAATGTGTAAAATAGTGGAAATCATAAACAAAAAATACTTAAATATATTCCTGTTTAATAGATTAAACTTTGAAAGTTTAAAAATGAATATTTTGAAACAATTAACATGTTTCCGAGTATTTCAAAGAGCTTAGACTTTGGTTAGACAGTTGAATGGTCAAATTATAAACCAGCTTCTAAGAAATGTAAAACATGAAAAATTTTAAACTTATTTTGTCTGAAAGAATTAAAAATTCTACATGTTTATTATCAGAATGAGGTTTTGTGGAGATTGTAGTAATTCAGTGCTTGAATTCATGAATTGATTGAAACTAGACATCAACACCGTTGGATGCCGGTCGGCTCAGTGGTCTAAAGGTTATGCATTCGCGTGCGTCCTGGATTCAAGTCTCGCATGCGGAATCATGGATGCCCACTACTCAGGAGTCCCACACTGGAACGAACCGGCCATTCAGTGTTCTCAGGCTTTCAATGGTGGTCTAGTTTAGGATGACTCATGAGTTCAACTTCTAGATTTTACATTTGAGATTTTTAGTTAGTTCACAGTTGCAGTAGTTAATTAACGTAATTATCAATTCAAAGGCTGAATGATTCATAATCTAATTACCAATAAAGCAAACTTTTTTGTGAAGTTGAACAACATAGATTTTCATTTAATCATTCACATTGATATTTGATTAAATTATAAGAAAACAGTGGTTATGCTGTACAAGATTCTGTCAGTAAAACTGTGTAAAATTTTGTGATTACACAAAAACTTATGCGATTTCAGATAGTTAATGATAAAAACTATGTTATGGTTTCCATCAAATAATATCATCCTGTAAAGTATCGAAGAAGTTATTTTGTCTTAATACTTAAATCTACAGAAGGGGATATCCATGACATGACAATCATTACCAGTAAATTGAATCAGGTGTTTCAAGAAATTAACTAACTATTCTTTCAAATATTAGACATCGCACTACAAGGAAAATTAGGAGTACGAGGTTTTATAGTCATCTAGAAATGTTTAATAATGATATAGTACATCAATAATTGATGAGATGAACTTTATAATCCACAATAAGTATAACTGTAAAAATTAACAATTATAAAATGACCACAAGGAAAAATCATCCTGTGTTTTGAAAAAGAATCTTTAGTCAAAATATAACCACTTAAAGTTAATGTAATACTAGTTTAATTTTAAAATTATCAAAAATTGTATAACTATTCATTTAGATGAAGTACAGTAAGTCTATACTGTCAAGTTATTTATTTGTATTGATCTTCCTGTACGACTTCTGTGTTATATATGTTTGTGTGGTTTGATGATATATTTTATAAAACATTCTATTTATCGATAATATGAATACAAAACTTTGCTTAACAGACAAGACAAATCAGATTATTACCCGATTTGTAATCATATGATATGACTGGACTTAAACTACACAATTTACAAAGACTGACTAGTTTTATTTGAAAGCATGGATCTACCCTTTAAATATGATATGTAAACATATGTGAAAACATTTTTGATTCATTTCATATGGATGTTATTTATGAGCTATTCCTAAAGTGATTATTACTCTTAGATTTATAAAAGATCAAATGAAATCCATTATATGTGAGAAGCTAAAAACTAGATCTTTTTTTCCTAGTGTCAACCGTATAATTACTTCTGAGATGTGAACAAACTATCATGTCGTTTGCAATAGAAATGATTCTGGAGTAAACCGATCCTCTTGAAAATTGTTGATCAGAGTGCAAATCTTAAACTTCCAATAAATAAATTAAAATTAACGGTGTTCTTACTTATCATAATCTTCAGCTTCCGAGGGATTATTGGAATCTACAGTTCTATCCGATATATGTGATTGCATACCACATTCTGATATAACAGATTTCATTGTATCTATTATCCAAGTATTTACACAAATATTTACATTAATTGGTCCATATTCATAAATGTAATTCCATTATACACTCTATCATTAAATATTTGTTCCAGTGAACATCATTAAACTGTATATACTGTTTTAAATAACACCATGAATATATTATAAAGTTGTGTTCTATGAAAGATTGAACTTATTTTGCCAAAATTAATCCAATATGAAATCCATAAAATAATCATTTAAATAATGTTTTTATAAGTAGTATCTTCAATAATAACGAAAAAGAAATGCAAAGTATGTATATATTATTGACAATATTAACATGAAAAACATTTCTTCGTGTTTAATTTACTTAATTCAAAATAATTTCCTTTAATTTTTCTTTTCCGTCCATAATCTCTAAATTGTTTTCCTGACTTTAATATATGTATAATCATCTTATACCTGTCTACCATATAGTGTGTGTGTTTATTTCCTCCCCCCCACCAAAAAAAATGTTTTTTTTTATTTGTTCCGTTGTTATTCATGTACTTATACATAGTCTTTGTCTAATATGTACCTATGTATATACATATGGAAAAAAAGACGATTTTAAATGTTTCTACTTCTTTCTTTAACTATACTATTGTTTGAATTTAAACAGATAAGTAAAGTCATCTTGTAATAATAATAATAATATTAAACATGTAATCAATATATAGAAAATTAAGTAATACATACAACTTATATTACTTAATGAACTTAACTTTTTCATTTAAGATTTAACCAAATTTATTAACATAATCTATTTGATTAGGTTCTTTCTTAACAGGCTGGAAACAATCAAAAAGTTTTTTTTTTAGAAAATCTCTTACCAATGATTAATGGTTGGATAAGATAAATGATTTTTATTGGATATTAGTAAGGTATGTCATTGATTTTTCTTTTCATCTGTCAACTGTTTATTGTTATTATATGAATGTTGTTTTTTTTAAAAACACTTATATTTTTAATAGTTAATGATTCATTACCACTGAGATTCTCTTTCATAATATGGATGTGGTTCAAGGTTCGGCATTCATTTAATGTTGTGGAACAATCGTTAGTCGATATACAGACTGATGACTTACGTTATTATATTCCATTTTAGATTGACTACAGTTAGTCAACCACTAATAAATAGTTGAATTCGCGCCTAAAATAAAAACTACCTACTTGTATACATCCACTACACTAAGAATTTAAATCATGACCTCTAGATCTAGATACAAATGTTTAACCTTCAGATCACTATGTCGATATAGTTTTGTACACTTTCAGCTTTAAATGTATTCCTTCAATCAACAATATTGTTTACAATCTATTGGTTATTTAAATTTGTTTTGGTAAACATCTCAAAAGTCGTTTACTTGTATACAAGTACATTCAGTTATATACTGACTGTATAGATTCGATCATTATTAATTACAGTAATTATCAAATTTGATAGTTATTATTTAATACAATTACATAGAAACAAAAAGCCCTACTGTACGGAGCTGAGACGTGGAGAACTACTACATCCATCGTCAAGAACGTACAAGTATTTATAAACAGTTGTTTACGCTAGATACTCAACATTCAATGGCCAGATACTATCAGCAACAGCGTTTTATGGGAGAGGACAAACCAGCTTTCAGCTGAAGAGAAAATTAGGAAAAGACGTTAGAAGTGGGTAGGACATACATTAAGGAAATCACCAAACTGCATCACGAGGCGAGCTCTAACTTGGAATGGTGAAGGGAAGCGGAAAAGAGGAAGGCCAAAAAACACATTACGCCAGGAAATAGAGGCAAACATCAAAAGGATGAATGACAACTGTAAATAACTGGAAAGGATTGCCAAGGATAGGGTTGGATGGAGAATGCTAATGAGCGGCCTATGCTCCTACACAAGGTGTAACAGGCGTAAGTAAATAAGTACATAGAAACAAGATTTACATTGACTCAATATAAAAATTAACTGAATAAAAATTTTATTTAAAATCAGTATTAAAATTTTTCCTTTAATTTCTTATAATCAATTATGTTTAACAATTTACTTACATAATAATTTACTTGAATAAATTTTACTAGTTAACAATAATAATGACTAATCTGTTAATATAAACAAATAATATTATTTTCATTGAATATGTTACTATCAATATGCATTTAAGTAATGTACTAAAAAAACAGAAAAATATGAATTATTGACCAAATCAAGTTTTTCAGAAGGGGGTTTTGTGGAGATTTTAGTTGGAGCTAGACCATCATGTAAAACTTGGAAGCACTGGACAGCCGTTTCGTCCTGTTGTGGGACTCTTCGGTTAAGGACTCTGGCGCAAGACTGGTAGGTCCTGGGTTCGAATCTCGTGTGGCAGGATCGTGGATGCGCACTGCCGAGGAGTTCCATAATAGGATGAAACTGCCTTCCAGTGCTTCCAGGTTTTCCATGGTGATGTAGCTTCGATTGACTCATGTACTTAACTATATAAATCAAGTTTATCATTGTACATTGATAAATAATTCAAGTTATAAGACTTAAACTAGATAGTGTAAATATTGTTAAGTGTAAAATTTAAATTAAGCAAAATGTTTCCTTTTTTCTTCAAATTCAAAGGAAAAATATATTCTTTTTAGAACAGTTTACAATTATTAGTATTAACTTTGAAATAGCTTTATTGAATGTAATGTTTGTACAATACACTAAACTTAGTTGTTATATATGTCTTGTGTAGAGATAGAATATTTTTAAAAAACATTCTATAATAAACCAACTCTCATTAATTTTAATAGTTGAGAGTTTCATCCTATTATGGGACTCTTCAGCAGTTCGTATCCACTAAATGACCGACCAGTGCTTTCAGATTTTCCATGGTGGTCTAGCTTCAATTGACTCGTGATCTCAACTATTAAAATTACTATAATATTCACGAACAACCCTTCTGATGTAACTCTTATTAGTTTATACTAATCTTTTGTTTCAAGTTAACTTATATGAATTGACAAAAATCATCTTCCATTATGTTCTATGAACTAAGTACTTTTAAAAAATATGTCAGTTGAATCTTGTAGTGAATATTCATTCACTTCATTTTAAAAAATTAAGTTAATATTCAAGGAATGAGTTAATTCAATATCATGAAATTTTTACCATCATTTACTTCAATACATATGTTGCTCTATAAAATGTTATCATTGCTAAGAAAGTACAATCAACATGATATTCAATAATTCATTATATTTTTCAGATAAAGAAAATATATAAATGTAACCATTTTAAAAGAAATTTTATGGAACTTCACAAGTATGAATTGTATAACAACAGTTCATGCAAAAATAAAATAATTAAGAATACAATTATCTTTATCCGAAGGGAGTTTTGTGGAGATTTTAGTAATTTTATATAGTTCAGATCATGAATCAATTGAAGCTAGACCACCATGGAAAACCTGAAAGCACTGGAAGCACTGATCATATGCTCACCAGTGACTGGCTCTGTGAGGCATTTCCTGAAGTTCTAATGAGGAGCAGTAACCAGTGGAGTTCAACCTGGTCTGTTGGGAGAAATCAATTTGACTGAAGACATTGGTGAATGATTGCTCAATTTCGTGGATTGGTTAAAGTTAGACATTAACACCGTTGGATGCCGGTTCAGTGGTCTATTGGTTAGACGCTCAGGCGCGAGACCGACAAGTCCAGGGTTGGAATCTCGCGAGGCGGGATCGTAGGTGCACACTGCTGAGGAGTCCCGCAGTAGGATGAAACAGCCGTCTAGTGTATCCAGTCTTTCCATGGTGGTCTAGCTTCAATTGTGTCATGATCTCAACTATATAAAAATACAATCATCTGTTTAAGAAATTTATAGTTCTACTATAAGTGAGCTGTATATAAAGACTATACTGGTCAGTTATAAAAAGTCAACAAAATATATGTTGGCTTTAAAAAAGAAAACTGAATGAGGATCAGACATTCATAATTGAGAAAATTTTATACCTGGTTTTAATGCTTTCATTGTTCTTGCATTTATTTACACAGTTTCGACAGAAGCTAAAATGTTATTTACTTATTTTTCAATAGGTGTTCGAAATTTATTTTTCACAAATCTATAGCACCTAGAAAATTGATTATATTTAACTTCAAAACAGTGGTTATACAAACTCAACATTAAACTTTCTAAATAAATTTCTTCACATTTTAACATTGAACTTTACTTATGTTTTGATTCTTCATTTAACAACTATGTATTAACTATTCAAGGAATAATACACAAATAATTAAATGTTTTTTCTGCATTAAGTAATTAATTTTAAAATAGACAACAAGACTTTGATAATGAAAATAAGGCCATAAAGTCAAGGATAGAAATTTTGTTTTTCAAATAAATAAAGAGGCCAGAGTTGATTTTTTATGAACCGACGGAACTGACATCACAAAGAGACTTTTTGTAGGCAAGATAGGTTAGTATTTTCTTAAATATTCAATAATACATATTAATACCAAACATGAATATTCGGGTATTACGGAGAGTTTGTAATACCCGGCAGTTAAAATTCAGGAATCCAATACATCAGCCTTTGTTGATTCGTGAATACGAAGTGAATTTTTTCGGTATTATCATTGTAACAAGTACTCAATAAGTGTTTTGGGTAACATAGGAATATAGAACATGCATTTTATCTTATCCGAGACTATGTTTTTTTACCCATCTGTTATGCGATATGATTCCAAACTTCGCAAAACCATTAGAACAACCGTAAACTGAAAACTTTAAAAATGTTTTTCAGGCACCAGTGAGTATGTAATGAATAGTTTTAAGCTACAAAAACTAAAATCTTAGCCAACTTTCCAAATGAAAATAATTTGTTTATTAGTTTGGTAAAAACTCCTCTAACCACCTTGGTAAGTATTAGGCAATATAAATCGATATCTTTCCTTATCAATAAGTAAGACAGTGAATTGTCAACAGATTTGTGTGCATGAAAGGATAAGAATCAAATCTGGAAAGAAGGA